AAAAAAAAAAAGCTTGAGTTAGCAATCTATTTTCAATGTCCCATACTTTGCAAGATAAAATTCATCCTGATCTCTGTTTCAATTTAATTTTCTAGGGTCTGGAGATGCAGATGAGTGGTAGAGCACCTGTACCGTGAGTACAAGGCCCTAGCTTCAATGCCTAACACAGGTGAAGAGCAAAATAATAAGTAAATAACTCGGTCTTCTGCCTTCCACCATTCCCCATATATATTACCACTGGGTGCTCTGATCTGCAAACTGATCAGACAATCAGGCTGCTCCTGGCATCACTGGGGAAAGTAAACAACACGCTGGGAACCATAAATTTTCCAGAACCTCAAATATCCCATAAGAATGAGGAGGTTAATGCACTGAATGGCGAGTTCACCTTAGCCAGCTGAAGGATGCTAAGGAAACACAATCAAGTCTCAGAATAGCTGAGTAAAGGGGGGAGGCTTTATAAATGGTCTTCTTCAAAGACAGCAAAACAAAGGAAGTTGGACATCAGCGGATTTGATAACTTTGGTGTTTTACATAAAATAATGTTTTCTGTCTCTGCACATCTTAACACTATGTCTAAAACCAAGTACATGAATTCAAAACTAGTGCGTTAATACAAACTCTGACTATTCACTTATAAATTATCATTAGCAAACCTATTTTATAAATAGTATTGACATTCAAAATAATGACTCTAAGCCAGGTGTAGTAGCCCATGCCTTTAATCTCAGCATTCTGGAGGCATAGGCAGGTGGATCTCTGTGAGATGGAGGCTGGCCTTGTCCACATAGTGAATTCTAGGCCAGCTGGGGCTACAGGGAGATCCTGTCAAAACAAACAAACAAAAACAACAACAAATCAATTTTAAAAGAAATTAAAATTAAAAGTTTATCCAAAGCTTAATACGAGTCTTTGATAGGGATTCAAGTGGTCTTGCATGACATGCTGCACTGTAGAAGAATTATCTGAGCTTTTTTTGTTTTCTTTTTTGAGCAGGGTCTCCCTATAGCCCCAGCTGGTCTGGAGCTCACTATACAGACCAGGCTGGCCTGGAGCTCACAGAGATCCTCTGCCTCTGCCTCCAGAATGCTGGGATTAAAGCCGTGCACCACCACACTGGGTATCTGAGCTTTTATAGTCACAGAACAAAAAAGAATTATAAATCAATCAATTATAAATCAATCAGTTACATTGGTGGGGGTACAGCAAGGCAGGAAAGCTCTTCCAGAGCTTTCAGAAGTACCAAAAATCTTAGCTTTAAGACTGGTGGAGGTTGGAGGTCTGCTTAACAATACATAAGCAGCTTATCTACTAGACTGTTAAGTCAGGCATCAATGTTAAGATTAATGGCCGGCAAAGGCCACAATCTACATTCCATCTCTCCCCAACAACAATGTTCTAATCACCCAAGGCCAAGCAGACTGAATTTTTAGTGTAGCTACAGTTTCATCAGAGAACTTCTGATCACCACAGTAATGTACGAATGAAATATACTCTTATTTTAAATGTTATTTATATATATGCCAATTTGTTTGGTTAAAAAATAAACTTATAGGTCTGGCGCAGCTCTGTAATTACAAACACTCGCCAAGTGGAGGCGGGAGAACAAGGTGTTCGAGGTCAACCCGAAGCGGACAGGGTAATCAGCTTTGAATCCTTTATTTCTTGGTTTTAAATGGCAATTGGTGACAACAGCTGATTCAAAACCAAACTATATACATACTACTTGGATTGAAACTAACGCTTAAAACTCACTTTTTGGCACTCTTCCAATTAAGTAAACGAACACTCCTTTGTCAGCAGAGCCGGAAGACATTTCTTTGGCTCAAACGCAAAACAAACTTGGAGTTTTGGTAAAGCGACAGACTGAAATTGCACCCTATTTTTCCCTTGGTCATATGCGCACTGAGCTTAAGACTCCGGCTGGGGAGGTGATGCATGCATCCAGGGATGCACTTTCCAAACGCTAACTGTTCAGTGCTGGACAAAACCAACAAACAGAAGCGAAACAAGCAAGTTACAAGGGTGGTTCTAGCAAAGATTTTAGCAAAACTCAAAAGCAACAAGGTAGCACTCCCCGACGCCCCCAGGTGAGGGCGCTCCGCACAGCCCCGGCACAGCGGGCTCCCGCGACCCGGCTCCTTCCAGCTGTTTCCTCCTCCTCCGCATCTTCGTCCCGGGTACCACACCCAGCGGACACTCACGAGCCACACCTCGAGTGTCCGTGCTTTTCCCGCGCCTCTTAAACGGTGCGTGAGGTCACCGGGGTACGCACGGAGCCCAGCATCCCAGCTCGCCGGCTCCCGCGCATGCTCTGGACGCGGCAGCGTCACGCTGCAGTCCGAGGAACGTAAATCCAGTTCTCCGCAGTTTACAGACGACCCTGAAAAGCCGCTGCGGGAGCCGATTGCTCGTCCCCGGGGAAGCGGCTGCTTGCAAAGCCTGGAAAACCCGGATAAGCGGATTCCGCCCGTGCACGCCGGGCGCCTCCGGGCATGCGCAGTGGCCGCCCACGGTGGCTGAGCTCCCGGGAGTCTCGGTGCCGGAAGGGTTGGTTGGTGTCGGCTTGCTGGCCGCCTGGGTCATGTCGGCCCAGGGCGACTGCGAGTTCCTGGTGCAGCGAGCCCGCGAGCTGGTGCCCCAGGACCTGTGGGCCGCCAAGGCATGGCTGATCACCGCCCGCAGCCTCTACCCGGCTGACTTCAACATCCAGGTGAGTCAGGCCCGGCTGCCCACGAGCCGGGCTGAGCACTTAGCGATGCTCGGTGGCCGTGGGCTCAGTGCCCGGTGCACCCCACTCCCTCTGTCTCTCCTGCCGCACTCCGTGCTGCACCTCCTACCATGCTTGCCCCAGAGCCTAAAAAGGCGGAGACCAAGCGAGGGTCCTGTCTGGTTGACCGGCTTGTTGATCTCAGTGGCAGCCAGCGGTTCGGCGCCCGCTACTTGGGAAACCCTATCCAACTTGTCCTGCGGATGGAGTGCGTCCCGGGCCCCACTCGTGAGGTCCAGGTGATTGCTCTCGACCCTTCTTTTCCTCTGGGAGGTTTTCAGTGAAGGCCCACCGCTGAGCGATGCTGCAGGTGGGCTGCAGTGGGACCAGCCACCACGGGCTCAGGGTGGTGACCCTGTCTACCTTGTCGTTGCAGTATGAGATGTACACCGTGGAGCGGAATGCAGAGAGGACTTCCACAGCTGGGAGGCTTCTGTATGACATGTGAGTGAGCTCTGGGGACATCTACCTTCACTGGATGCCCAGGAGCTTTTCTTTCTGTGACATTGCGGTTGGGGGAGGATCTTGAAGGTCACCTGCATCCCCACAACTTACTTAATAATGATGCCAGGCTTTGTCTTAATTGCTGACACGCCTTAGGTAGAAAATTTTTTATTCTTAACGTTTTGTTCTCAAAATTTGTATCCAATTCTTTTATATGAGAACAGGTTCATTGCAAATGTTCAAACAGTAATTGATGGAATGAAATGTGAAAGACCCTTCTAAACCCCACCAGGGCTAAGTTTTATGTGTATTTGTCTATGCATCTGTATATAAACTTCTGGATATAAACATCTGGATACACTTGTTTAGGATGCCAGTAAGTAATTCTGAATGCATAATCTGATGTTTCTCCTATACTAAGAGGTATGTTTTCATAGTTAAAGGGTATGTGCATTTAAAAAGAGGGTTTTTTTGTCTTTTTGAGCCAGGGCCTCCCTGTAGCCGCAGCTGGCCAGGAACTTGCTATGTAGACCAGGCTGGCCTTGAAATCATAAAGATCCATCAGCCTCTACCTCCCAAATGCTGGGATTAAAGGTGTGTGCCACCATGCCCGGATAAAATTTTAATGGTGTGTCAAATTACTCTCTAGAAAGAACTGTCCTAATTTCTCTTTCCACAAGTGGTCTATAAGAATGCCAGCTAACCCACAGTCTCATCAGGCATGAGATCACTCTCCAGCTCCTTTCTTGTTTTGTTCTTTATGCATCTCACTATTATAGGCCAAGGTGACCTTGAGCTCAGGGATACATTTGATCCCCCGTGTAGCTAGCTGGGACACAGGCTATGCCACTACATCTGGCTTATCAGTCTCTTTTCATTTTTTATTTTTATGTGTATGAGTGTTTTGCCTGCATGTATGTAAGTGCGCCTTTGTCATACAATGCCCACAGATGCCAGAAGAGGGTGTCAGATCCCCTAGAACTGGAGTTACAGATGGTTGTTAGCTGCCTTGTGGGTGTTGGGAACTGAACCTGGATCCTCTGCAAGGCGGCAGGTACTTTTAACCACAGAGCCAGCTCTCCAGTCCCTTCCCCAACCATTTCCCAGCATGATTGGGAAGTGATACCTTGCTATATTGTTGTTGAAGTTTGTGCCGCTCATTCTGCTCATAATGTTGGTTTTCTTCAAAGCTGTTCTCTGGTTATTGTGGTCTTCAGTTTGATTTTTTTGTTTGTTTGTTTGTTTCATAGAGCATTAGTTACTGTTGTTGTTATTGCTGTGACCAGATGCTGACAAAAAGCAAATTAAGGAAGTGTTTATTCTGGTTCAAAGTTTGAAGCTATAGTTCTTCATGGTGGGCAAGATATGATGGCAGGAACATGAGGCAGCTGGTCACATTGTGTGTTCAGTGAAAAAACAAAAAGATGAATGATGTGTCCAACTTGCCTTTGCTTTCTTTTGTTTTTTACTGAGACAGGGTTTCATATACCCCAGTATTACCTGGTCTTCAGCCCATTAAGATAGCTGAGGATGATCTTGAGCTTCTGATCCTCCTACCTCTACCCCCCAAGTGCTGGGGTTACAGGCATGCTCCACCACATCTGGTTTATGAGGTATTGGAGATTGAATCCAGGGCTTTGTGCACAATAGGCAAGCACTCTACTGAGCTACTCCGTAGCCCCTCACTTAAAAAAACAAAAAAATGAGCTTCTAAAGAATGCATATTCTCTTGGGGCTGGAGAGATAGCTCAGCAGTTAAGAACACTGGTTGTTCTTGCCGAAGACCTAGATTCGAATCCCAGCACCCACATAGGAGCCAACAACCGCCCATAATTCCAGTCCCAGGGGATCTGACAGCCTCTCCTGACCTCCGCAGGCATTGCACGACACAGATGCACTTACCTACATTCAGGCAATACACGCATACACATAAAATAAAAAAGAATGCATATTCTTGTTTTTTAAGCTAATGAGTTATTTTTGTGTCTTTATTTTGGTTGGCTTTCACATCTGTAAACATTAACCTAAAGAAAAATGGTTTCCTCTCAATGCTATTATTCTTGCTTTTTTTTTTTAAATCTGACATTTTAATTTATTGCACTCATTTTAAAAATAGGTTTGTGAATTTCCCAGACCAGCCCGTGGTATGGAGAGAAATCAGTCTCATCACAGCAGCATTAAGGAATGATTCGCAGGACAAACAGACACAGTTTTTAAGAAGTGAGTATGTAGTCACAGCTGAATAGTTTATAAATGACCATTTCTGGAAGTTCATTCCATTTCTAGAATATATATACGCATAAAATGTGTGCCTGCATGTCTGTAAGTGCACCTGTATTGTGCAATGCCAGCAGAGGTCAAAAGAGGGTGTTGGAGTCCCCCGGAACTGAAGTTATGGATGGTTGTTAGCTACCATACTGGGAATGGGACTCAGGTCCCTCTATAAAAGCAGCCAATGCTCTTAATCACTGAGCCATCTCTCCAGCCCCATTAAGTTGTTTTTTTAACTTTTCTTTGAACTTCGGTGTCAACTAAAGACTAGATAAATTCTAGGTAAATTAACAAGTAGATGGTTTCAGCCATTTCACCTTAAGCAAGTGCACGCTCCTCTTAATGCAGCAAGCTCCGTGGCAATCCATCACATAGACCATTCTTGTCCCCTGGATCCACCAGACCTCCAAATGCTTGACAGTTGTCTAGCAATTGGCTCGTGCCATACCGGCTGGAATTCAGAGGACTGCTACTTTGTAGGTTAAGTCTGAGTGATTGTTTACTGTTGTGTCCATCAGAAAACCTTACTTTACACTTTTGGGTCCATATTTTCTTTTAAAGGTGAAATGTGTTGTTTACAGGTTTATTTGAAACTCTTCCGGGTCGGGTCCAGTGCGAAATGTTGCTAAAGGTTACAGAACAATGCTTTAACACACTGGAACGATCAGAGATGCTGCTCTTGCTTTTGAGGCGCTTTCCTGAAACAGTGGTGCAACATGGGGTAGGTTGATACTTCCTTACAGTAGACTCCTCGGTGTTAGGAGCTGTAGTGTCCATTACATTAGAGTCTCTGCCATGAGTCAAGCTAAATGGCCATAGCTGGTATTGAACATTGACTGTACATTTCCAGGGGAAGTTGTCTTATGAGGTCACCAAGCTGTGGCATCATATTTATTTGTATCTGAACACTAGAAGGTAGTGTTTTTCCATTGTGATTACAGATGTGTTTGAGTTCGAATGAGAGTCCCAGGGCTGACAGGATGGCTCAGCAGGTAAAGGTACTTTCTGCCAAGCCTGAGGACCTGAACTCCATCCCTAGGTCCCACATGGTGGAAGGAGAAAACTGACTCAGTGAAACAAGTAAGCCCACTTTAAAGACTAGAAAACACCAGAGGATCAGTTCACTTGACCACCTGACCACTTTGCTTATTCTCTTCTGAACTAGCAAAATTAAAAAGCTAATAAAATGTCTCCTGAAACTCCGGGGAGCACTGGAATTGGAGTCAGAATGAAGATACAGATGGAGAGTTTTTCCAAGAACTGGGGAAACTGACTTCACGGTGTGAAGATACAGGAGCTCGAGAACAAGTTCTCTTGAGACTCCAGTAGATAATCATACAGTTTGGGGAGCTCTGGACAAAAATTTCTAAATTTTAAGGCCACCTTCTCACTACTGGTACCCTGCATAGCAGAAAGCCCTGTATCAGAACCCACCCAAGAACTTATTTCATCCTCTTTTATAACCCTGTAGGGATCTCTACGGTAAGGGTGGAGCAATGTAAAAGACCACACTATACAGAAGATTAAAAAGTCACTGCAATAATCAAAGACTGCATGATGTTCCCCAAACCCATGCCTATTAAATGCATTATTAGGCAATTTCTTCAGATGAACACTGGAGTTCATTTTCATAAACTAAGATGGCTATGCCATCACTAGACAGTGTAACGTTATGCAATCAATTCATACATACAGTACATTATTGACCAAAATCTCATTATGGGGTTCATGACTATATAAAGAAAACAGCGTCTATGCCAGGCGTGGTGGCGCACGCCTTTAATCCCAGCACTCGGGAGGCAGAGGCAGGTGGATCTCTGTGAGTTCAAGGCCAGCCTGGTCAACATAGTGAGTTCCAGGACAGCTGGGGCTACAGGGAGACCCTGTCTCAAAAAGACCGAAAAAAAAAAAAAGAGAGAGAAAGAAAACAAAACTGTATCTGTGCGGATATAATCAGTTAAGATTAAGTCATACCAATCTAGGGTAAGCGTAAACCCAGTATCCTTATAAGAATGTCATATAAAGATGGAGACACATGAGGAAAGGACCAGGTAAGGTCACAAGGAAGAACTGGAATGATGCAGCTGCTAGCTCAGGAAAGAGCGTGGCAGCTGACACCCTCTGGAAGGAATCTGCCCTGAAGCCTTCAGGGAGAGCACAGCCCTGCCAAGACTCTCTTTTGGGCTTCTAGTTTTCAGAATCATAAGAAAATGTCTGCTGTTTTAAGAACCCCACTTCTAGAACTTTGTAATGGCAGATCTAGAAAATGAATATAAGGAAGCAGGGAAAGAGTTAACCAGGCCATAAGCCAGAAAAAAAATGGCACGGGAAAAAAAACAAGTAAAAGAGACTGATTAAATAAAATGAACGAATGGTTTGAATTGTGACTACCCACTGCTTCTGGAAAGTTACTGAACACCTAAGGCCCAGTTTCTGTTTCTTCATGTAATTCTGGCACCTTACATTGTGCACATTTAAATGATTTTTAATTTGATACAGGTTGGCCTTGGGGAGGCACTGCTAGAAGCAGAGACCATTGAAGAACAAGAATCTCCTGTTAACTGCTTCAGAAAACTGTTTGGTAAGAATAATTGTATTTCTTATTATTTCCTGAGGCAGTAGAATATGAGATAATGGTCATCTCGGGGGTAAAGGCAGTTGCAGGAAGCAAAGGAGCTCTTTGTATAATGAAAGTGAAATTCTGCTTTGATTTTTCTCAAGCAGGAAAGCATTTTAAACAATTTCTAAGTCAGTGTTATGTAACGTTCCATACCTCAAAGGGGGTTTGTGTAGACCTGTGCAAGTGTTGAGTGTAATCATGGACACATGACCCAGTGAAAGCTGTCGACCTTTAGCCACAGTGTGGAATCTACAGATGTGCTTCTCTGCCTCCTTCCACTGATGTCCCTTGGTGCAGCTGTTTTTAAATAAATGTGCCACAAGATTTGCTCCCTATGTATTTTAGCTTCTACATTAAGTGAACTTGAAAATGAATTTTGTTTTTGTCAGAATCTTCAGGTAAACAACCTGATCTGTTTTTTGTTTTGTGTCTTAATTTTTCCCCCTTCAACAGTTTGTGATGTCCTTCCTCTAATCATTAACAACCATGATGTTCGATTGCCTGCCAATTTACTATATAAATACTTGAACAAAGCAGCTGAATTTTATATCAATTACGTCACTAGGTCCACACAGATAGAAAATCAGCATCAAGGTAAGTGGGAGAAGCCGGCAGTCTTACTTAAACTAGCTTTGGTAAAATTATAAATTCAGAAATCCTTAACCACTCTGTTTACTATTTTGTATGTATGCTAATGTGACAGTCTTTCTAAAAGATGGTGTCTGGAAAAATAAACATGTGGTCAAGAGTTGAGACTTTTCTGTAACCAGTTCTACCCCTTGATCAAAATAGTCCAGTTGGTGAACTTCATATAGGGGCCTTGGACATCTCACAGGTACTGCAGCTCAAAATCCACTTCCTGCTTTAACCAGCCATCCACTGTGGGTCCTTGAACAGCATTCTCATACATGTATTGTTGGGCAATTTTATTGTTAACATCATAGGGTGTACTTGTACCAACCAAGGTGCTATAACTGGCTAGTCACTGAGGTTATGTGGTATAACATATTGCTCCTAGAGTACAGAGCTAGGTAGTTACTGTACTGAATACTGTAGGCAACTTAATACGTGGTATTTGTGAATCTAAACATACCCAAACATAGAAAACATACAGTAAAAATACATTGTAAGAGATAAATGGTAAACCTGTTTAAATACCTGCCTTCTGCAGAGCTTGCAGGACTGGAAGTTGCTCTGGGGAGGTAGGCATGAAGGCCTCAGACGTGACTGTACATTGCTGCCTTAGAAACACTATAGACTCAGGCTACACACGGTTGATTTAAAAAAAACTTTCTTTTTGGTGCTTTTGAGACAGGGTCTTACTGTAGCCCCAGCTGGCCTGGAACTCCAAGAGATCCACCTGGCTATGCGTCCCAAATACTGCTATTAAAGGCCTGTGCCACCACACCTGGCGATTTATAAGCTTTTTTCTTCACTAATAAATTAGTTTAAAGTGTAACTCGCAACTTTGTGATTAAAAAAAAAATTTTAACTCATTAGCTTGAAACTAACCTGTAATTGTTTGATTTTTTTTTAAATAAATCTTTTTTGATACTTAAACACATTGTACAGCAGGACAGAAATACTTTGTGTGTCTGTGTGTTTTTTTTCTATGAATTTTTTTCATGTTTTAAACTTCTTGTTAAAAACTAAAACACAGGCATAGCCTGTAGCTAAGCTGCCTTCTGTCACCAGGCCCGTTCCCCCTGGGGGACTTTAGGGGCAGTGCCCTGTGTGATGCTGCCACTTCCTACTGAGACGGCACCTTCTGCGTCCTGCCCAAGGGGCCTCCTTGGGGCTCTTTTTAGGATTGTGCCATGGTGGGTCATTTGGTTGTTGTTTTCATCAGAGATTTAACTTTAGCATTAATCACACTCTGCATCAGTGAAGACCCCTGGGTGTCAGTGTCCATGTTTGCAAACCTTGTCGGGAGCACGCTGAGGCTGTGGGTCATTTGGTTGTTGTTTTCATCAGAGATTTAACTATAAGCATTAATCACACTCTGCATCAGTGAAGACCTCTGGGTGTCAGTGTCCATGTTTGCAAACCTTGTCGGGAGCACGCTGAGGCTGCGGGAGCGTCTGCTTATCTCTTCGCTGTCAATCTTCTTGGGTTCTTCTGCAGCTTCATTGTTTTTGTTGCTTCTCTAGCTGAGGGCTCACTAGGTGATGGAGCGCTGCAGGCATCAGGACTGTTCCCTGGTGTGGCGTGTTCGTAGGGCAGTATGTGACAGTGATAGATCGACAGCAGTACTTTGTTCCTTCTGAATGAGGAGTTAGACTTAACTCTATCAAGTGTCATATAATAGATAATAATATTTATTGTGGGTTACAGTTTTCATGCTTTCTATCCTTATAAGCTTTTTTTCCTGTTGTGCTATGTTGGTGGTCAGTGCGTTTGTCTTGTGAATGAGGAGTCAGATTTTTTTTCTCTTTATCAAGTACCACATAGATAATAAGTATTGATATTAATCATAATTTACTTTTCCTCACATCTCAGGTGCACAAGATACATCTGATTTAATGTCACCCAGCAAACGCAGCTCTCAGAAGTATGTAATAGAAGGACTGACTGAAAAATCGTCCCAGATTGTAGACCCTTGGGAGAGACTGTTTAAGATTCTGAATGTTGTTGGAATGAGATGCGAATGGCAGATGGATAAAGGAAGACGGTAATAAATAGTTTATTTCTAGAATTGCCCATCAAATGTTTTGGTTTCATAATCTCAGAATCTTTGTGGAAAACAAAACCACTTTTTGTAAACCAACATCATGCACTTGGGCAGATTTTATGACTGCCACCATTTATGCAAAAGAGGTGGTTTTTCCTTTTATTCAAATATTCGTAACTGAAGTGTGAACTCTTAAATGGTGTTGAGGGATGGGGAGATGGCTCAGTGGATCAAGCTCTTGCTGCACAAACAGGAGTATTGGAGTAAAGCAGGGCAGGCATGGCAGCTACCGGCTGCAGGTGGGCTCTGCGCCAAGCTGCGGGAGGCTCGGGCCAGCTGCGGTAGGAGTATTGGAGTAAAGCAGGGCAGGCATGGCAGCTACCTGCTGCAGGCGGCTGCAGGCGGGCTCTGCACCAAGCTGTGGGAGGCTCAGGCCAGCTGCGGGAGGCTCTCCCTGTGCTCGTGGGTCGTTGGCCACTGATCCACATGGGCAGGGAGAACAGAAGCAGCGAATGTGGTCAGGACGGCCAGTGAGTGCTGATGGAAGACAGCCCTTCCGGGGAAACTGATCCCAGGCTGGTCCCTGGCGCAGTGAAACAGCAATGTCACAGCTCCAGACACAGTGAAAACAGCTCAGCTCCAGACAGTGATACAGCTCCGTTTATTAGTGGGAAAACTAGAGAATTTATAGTGTGGAGGCAGTAGCAAAAGCCTCAGTTGATAGGTGCTCATAGTATGCTTTATTTACATGTGGCAGTGGGCTCCTATCTCCCAGACTGTCAGACAGTGTCTGATTATCATATAGAAAAAACCTGGTAGTTTCTATGCCAGAAAGGTCAGGCATCCGTGCTTGGTGGCACTTTCCAGGTGAGCCAGGAAGAGAGCAGGAGGCCCCTTGCTGAAAAGGGGAGTCTCTCCGTTAGGCGCCGAGCCTCTCAGGGCTATCCGGACATGGAGAAACTGCAACCCTAACAGCAGGGTTCCCCAACAACCTGCAATCCTAGCACTCGCTGAAGGGCAGCGTCAGGAGATTCTTAGGGCAAAGTGGCTAGGAAGACTAGCCTGAATTGATAAGCTCTGGGTTCCGTGAGAGACCTTGCATTAGCAAATAAATAATGTGGAAAGTAGTCAAGGAAAACACCTGACTTACTTCAGCCCTCCACATGCACATGCATCTCAGTCACATGCACCCCCATACATGTGTGCCACACACGTGATCACACATGCATATTTCATACATATATAAAATACTTTTTAAAAAGAGGTAGTTTCATGTTTGACCCCTTCAGTGGTTCAGAGAAAAGAGAAGTTAATTTGGCATGTATTATGACATGAAGTCGGCTTGGTCTGGTCACAGCCCTGGGTCAGAAGGGGAAATTTACCACTCATATGCAGACAATAAGGAATAATTTTAATGTAAATAGATACTTCTCAAAAGAAGAAATTCAGGTGCTAATGCACTGGTGAAAAACCGCTTAACTTCATTAACCATCAGGAGTACAAACCATTCACATGTTATCTCACGTCCTTTAGAGTAGCTGTTATCTCAAAGACAACACAATAGATCCTAGTCGGGATGGAGAAAAACCACAGATGGGAATGTAAATTCATAAAACTACTATGCAGAATAGTGTGGGGTTCCACAGACGCTAACAGTAGATGACCATATGACCTAGCTGTCCATGTCCGAAGGAAATTATATTAGCATATCATAGAGACATCAGTATACCCATATTTGTTCCTATGCTAATTATAGTAGCCAAGATATGGAATCAATCTACATACCTATGAATGGATAAAGAAAATTTACACACACGCACACACACACACACACATACACACACAGAGTGGAATACTGTTCAGCCATAAAGCATGTTGTTTTATTTTTGGCAAAATGGACAGACCTAGACAACGCAGGTGAAGTAAATCAGATTCAGAAAGACAACTTTTGCATGTTCTCTCTCATATGTTCATGTTAAGAATCAAAGCCATTTGGAATGCAGAATGGTGGTCACTAGTGACTGGGAACAGTGGTGGGGAGTGAGGTAATAGGACCTTAAACCCTGGCAGAAACCCAACATTACATAATTAGAGTAGAGCAGCGCAAAGGTTCTAAACACAAAGTAATGATAAGGAGGTAAAAATTACCCTGCTTTGATCAGTGCATATGCTATGAAACTCCAATTCCAGGGGATCTGACACCTTCTGGCCTCCATAGGCATTGCATGCACAGATGTACTTACATACATGCATACAAAACATACATATAAAATAAAAATAAACTTCATTTTACTTTAAAAAAAAAAAAGTAAGAATGACTATATACCTAGATACCTAAAGCCAAATTGGGTAAGTACAGTGACTTTTCTCAGAGTTTTTCTTTAGGCCTTTTGCCCACAAGCCTGTGTGGTTGAAATGGTTTGTCTCCCTTCCTCTCTCAGAAGCTATGGTGACATGTTGCATCGGATGAAGGAGCTCTGTAGGTACATGAACAACTTTGACAATGAAGCACACGCAAGATATAAAAATCAAGTGATTTATTCCACGATGCTGGTCTTCTTCAAAAATGCATTTCAATATGTCAGCAGCATCCAGCCATCTCTCTTCCAAGGTGGGTTTGCACATTCAGGAGTGCCCCAAAATACTGGTGTGGGACAGAGGACAGTACCAGCTGGTACTCTTTGTACTTGGTCATTTAGCTTGGCTTGGAATGGCGTTAGTAGTTTTGATGTAGAAGGATTTTCGTTAGGGCTCCTACATTAAAGGCTATAGTGGCACTGTGAAACTAAATGTGATCCTGCATGCTTCTGTTTTGAAAATAATCAACAGATATAGCAAAGTATTAAAGTAGATTTTATGGTGACTCAGCTCATGGGAGACTGAGGCAGAAGAATCAGGAGTTCAAGACCAGCCTTGGCTACATAGCAAGTTTGAGGCCAGCCTGGGTTTATAAAGATATCACAATAGGAACAATTTAGGTAAACTGTATATTATATGTATTACCTGTTGACTTAGGGTTTTGATAATTTTAGGTTCTGTTTGGAGTGTGCAGTCATAATGTAATGTCTCTATGGTAATTTTATGCTTATGGTCATTGCTCAGAAAATTGCAGATACATAACAGATGCAAAGAAGCAACACTGTTTCGTTTTCACACTAAAGAGAATTTCTGTTAAGGATTTGCTGTGTATCTGTGCGGTCTTCCTGTGTGTGTTTTTGCATGCTTGTTTCCTTCTTGTGTGTGTGCATGCTTGTTTGCCCAGTTGAGGGCACACTGGGCATATTTTTAATGAGCTTCGTTTTCATGTGGCACTTGAACTTCCTTCTACAGGTGTTGAGTACTCTTTCTTCATTTTTAATGCTAATATTCCCTCCTTTGCATAGGTCCTAATGCCCCAAGCCAAGTTCCGTTGGTTCTTCTTGAAGATGTAGTCAACGTATATGGTGATGTAGAGATTGATCGCAATAAACACGTACATAAAAAGAGAAAACTAGCTGAGGGGAGAGAAAAAACCATGGTAAGCCTTTCAGATGTATTATTTGTCACTTGTCAGAAATGAGTCTTTGTAAAATATGATTTTGGAGCTGAATTAATAAAGCTTATTAAGTGAGAATATAATTACTGTATAAGCTAGCTGATCGAGGTGGAGGTAGCCCCCCACCACCACCACCCCTTTTGTCTACCTGGGCTATTTGACAATGACTGGAGGCATTTCTGATTGTCACAGCTGTAGTTTTTTGTGGGGAGGGATTGCTAATTGCCATCTGGTGAGCAGAAGCGAGGGATGGGGCCAAACATCCTACAACATACAAGACAGGCCAGCAGACCAGTAGTGACAGGGTAGAAGAACCCTGTTCTGTGTTATTTAACTGTGTTTTAGCTGAATGGTATTAAGTTGACAAAACAAAGCCAGAACCGCATTCACTGCTAGAGCAGGGGATTGTGGGTACTGTCCTCAGGATGGAAAGGGCAGCCCAACAGCCCCAGATGATTCAGGAAGCCTTTCACCAAGCATTGGGTCTCCACTCAGCCTCACTTAACAACTCATATGATGTGCTAGACAGCTGGAGCTGGAGCCACGTGGTGGTCCTGCTCTCTAGCACGCAACGTGTGCCTGTCTCTTGATAGCGCTCTCTCAGTGTTTCAATGTTCGTACATATTTCAAACTTGATTTCTCAACATTTGAGAAAATGTTTCAAACTATTTGAAACTCCACCCCCTCCCCCCAAAAAGCCATTGGGGTTCTTTCATAAATTTCTGATCTCATTTAGAGGCAAAAATGTCTTCCATGGGTTGCAACACAAATAAACACACTATTCACGATAGTAAAATATGATCTTTGCTCACTGCTGCTGCTATGGGACAAGCCCCGGTGAAATAGGCTGTCTGGTGGACAGTTTTTACTATGAAAAGGTGAAAAGGTGTGGGTGTCATTGCTGAGGAGAACAAGCGGGGTAGGGTAGAGTCCCCAGGCACTCCAAGCAGCCAAAGGACATGAAGCTCTGCAGGTAGGGAGGAAGACACTTCAAAAGGCGGTGCCCACACAAAGGGCCTCTCCTGTGAGATGAGCTTGAGAGTTGAGCACATGGCTGAAGATACCTGAGCGTATTTTATTTATTTTATGTATGAGCATTTTACCTGCATGTAAGTGCACAGATGTTGCGCAGTGCCTGTGGAAGTAGCAAGATGTCGGAGCACCTGGAACTGGAGTTAATGGTGTCAGCTGTCATGTTGGTGCTAGGAACCAAACCCAAGTCTTCTGTAAGAGCAGACGGTGCTTTTAACTGCTGAACCATCTCTCCAGCCCCACCTGTGCATATTTTATTTTATTTTTAAATTTATTTTTATTTTGTGTGTATGAGTGTTTTGCCTGCATGTTTTAGTGTACCGCATGCATGCAACAGATGGCTGTTAGCTGCCACCTGGGATTTGAACCTGGGTCTTCTGCAAGAGCAACCAGCGCTCTTAACCACTGAGCTAACTGTCCAGACTCTCTGACTATGTCTTAAGGGACTCAAGCTTCAGTTTTATTCGACTGCTTGGAAGACTGTTGTTTGGAAGCCAGTGAAATAATGTCACATTTAGCTGATAAATCCTAAAGGAAGTACCACTTAAGCTAAATCTCTCAGCTCATTTTCAACTTGTGATTAAATTGATGTTTTGAAATTGTAAGACTTTCTCATCAGAAACCAATAAACTTAATTTTAAAGGTAAAACTTTACTGCATGAGAATGTCAAGATGAAAATCTTGATTTTCATAATCTGACTGATTATCAGAGGTGTTAAATTAGGAAAATGATGTATCCTATAATATTCTTTGATGTAAAATTCATAGTAGGCAGAACGAAGAGCATAACTAAATGGCGTTTGAGTATTTGATTGTGTTTATATCTTTAAATCAATCATGCTCTCCACATCCCAGAGTTCAGATGATGAAGAGTGTTCAACCAAAGGAAGGAATCGTCACATCGTGGTCAATAAAGCAGAGCTCACCAATTCCATGGATGTGCTGGAAAGCTTCAAGCTGGCTAGGGAGAGCTGGGAGCTGCTCTACTCTCTGGAGTTCCTGGACAAAGGTGAGCGTGCACCTGTCAGGCCAGCATCCTTTCATTTTCTGCATGAAATCCTTAGGCTAGTGTTGTCCTGTAAAAATCCTGTGGCAAGCCATCAAGATGGCTCAGTCGGTAAAGCTACTTGCTGCCAAGCCCAGCAACCTGAGTTTGATCCCTGGAACCCATGTGGTGGAAGGAGAGAACCAGCTCCTGAAAGTTGCCCTCTGACAGCCACACCACGTGGGCCATGACATACACGAAACAAATAAAATGTAAAAACCAAAAAGAAAAAAGAAATCCCATTTGCACATTAATTACTATATGCCTGAAATTCCAAAGCATTGTTTTGAAAATCAAAGTCTAAAATAACCATTCATCTTTTAGATTTCTGGCTAGGTCTCTCTCTGGCTAGGTTCAGTTTTCTCTCTACCTCTGTGTTTACCTATTTGGGGTAAATTTGCTTTTGAATTCTCCTTCAGAATTTACAAGAATTTGTTTGTCGTGGAAGACGGATACCTGGCTGTGGTTAAGAATCTTCCTCACTGATATGATCATCTATCAGGTAGAGTGACAGACATTTGGTGCAGTCATCTATCGTGTAAAGTGACGGGCATTTCAGGCTGCGGGGCAGGATTGTTGGAAACCAGCTTTAACTTGTAAGCTGTGTTCTCTGCTCCCTGGGAATAGCCAGTGCTTTATACAAACTTGGAGCATTCTGCACTTAGGGCTTAGTCTACTTTCATTTCAGTAACTCTTCTGATACCCCTTCCTCCGTACTTTGGTATGTCCAGTTATATTCCAGCTGTTCCTGTGGGTAAAAAGCAAGACTTACAGCTCAGTGGTTTAGAGCAGAGCACTGGCTGTAGAGGACCCAGGTTCAGTTTCCAACACCTACATGGTGGCTAACAACCATCTGTAACTGAGCTTCCAGTGCCCTCTTCTGGCCTCTACCATGATTGCACACATGGTGCACTTACATGCAGGCAAAACACTCACACATATAAAATAAAAATAAATCAATTAAAATAATTTTTTAAAAAGACTTCAAGAAGAAACATCTGTGTAGTGTTACCTTCTATATCATGGGTTCTGTACCCACAGGTTGAACTGACTGGAGATAAAAACATTTGAAGAACAGATTATGATTCTGCTGAGCGTGTGCACACTGTTTCCTTTGTCATCCTCCTGTAACGTAGCATTTATATTATATTAAGTATCTTAAGCAGCTAAAGATGATTTGAGGTATGTGAGAGGATAGGTACAGGTTATATACAAAAACTTTAGTGTCTTATATTAGGGACGAACATATATTCATCTTGGTGTCCTTGGGGTTCCTGGAGCAAGTCCCCTGAGGATTCCCAGGGATGGCTTTGCTTATGAATTTCACTAGCTGTGGTTGGATTCTGTTGCTAAGTCCCCTTCTCAGATAATTCTACAAAGATCCTTACTGTTGCCAAATTCCTGCTTAACAACCTCTGGAGGCTCGTGTGTATATATTTTTAATGTCAGTGCTCTTTTCCTCTTTGCCTTTATGTCTTCAAGGGTCAGTATAAGAAGGCTATAGCCAGTCTGCATCACTTAGCAGCTCTCCAGGGGTCCCTGTCTCAGCCACAGATCACTGGACAAGGGACCTTAGAACACCAGAGGGCACTCATCCAGTTGGCCACGTGCCACTTTGCTCTGGGGGAGTACAGAGTGAGTACTAAGGTTTGGGGGGAAACTCCACACTACCCTGGGCTGTCTCAGTCAGTGCATGTTTACTTGAATGTGACCTAGATCTGCTACTTAATTGATCTGGTGCTGACTTTGTTCTTTAAGTGTAACTTCCGTAAATATGGGCTTCAGTGCTTTTTTGTTTCGTTTTGCTTTGTTTGTTGGTTTGGAGGCTGTCTCATGTAGCCCAGGCTGGCTTTACACTTGCTGTCTAGTTGAAGGCTGAGCACTATGTATGTTTACTGGCATATACAAATTCTGTTGTTTGTTTTAGCAGCAAAGACTGGATTATAATTCCCTCTGCTACATAGATTTAATATTTAGTTTAATATCTATTTAGATTTAATTTTTTAATATTTTGTTATTTTTATTTTATGTGTATGAGTGTATTGCCTGCATGTATGTGAGTGCACCCGTGTTGTGCAATGCCGTGGAAGTCAGAAGAGGGCTTCGGATTCCCCTGGAACTGGAGTTAAGGAAGGTTCATAGCTGCTATGTGGGTGCTGGGAATCGAACTCAGGTCCTCTGCAAGAGCAGTCAGTGCTCTTAACCATCTCTCCAGCCCCTTAGATTTAATTTAATTTACTCCTATTGTGATTTTCTGTGTGTTCACTGTTGTGGACACAGCCATGCTCACATGAAGGAGTATAGAATGCTACACGTGTGCTTCTTGCATGTGTACTGCAGAAATGTGCAGTTATGCTTATTTGGTTTGAATCCAGTTGCAGGTTAGTCTTTGTGGTCTTGTCTCCTGTAGATGACTTGTGAAAAGGTCCTGGATCTGATGTGCTACATGGTGCTGCCCATTCAGGATGGAGGCAAATCACAAGAGGAACCCTCCAAAGTCAAGCCCAAGTTCAGAAAGGGTACGTTGAGAAGTCTCACTTTCGCTTTGTCAGAAGAGCTTTAGGACCCGTGGCTGAGCAGTATGATAGCAGTTTCTAATGAGATTGCACTGCTGTGTGCTGTGGAAAGTTAATCCCTTTCCAGGGTTTGCCTCAGCTTTATTCATAAGCAGCTGTAAACCTGATATTTCCCCAAAGCTTCCTCCACTTCCTGAGTTTGTAATCTCTGAAGAATGTGTTTCCTCTTTTGCCCAGGACTGGGGAAACTGCAGGGAATTAGGAAATGTCTCACTGTGCTCCTCAGGGACCCTCTTGAGGAAGTGTCACCTCAGGGACCCTCTTGAACTTTATCTCAGCTCAGATTGCTTGAGGCTGGACATGGTGATACACACCTCTAATCCCAGCCCTCCAGAGGCAGAGGCAGGCAGATCTCTGTGAGATCAAGGCCAACCTGGTCTACATGGTGAGCTGTAGACCAGCTGGGGCTATAAGGAGACATGCCTAGAAAAATAAAATAAAATAAATTTTAGAAACCCTCAGATTGCTTAGTGCTAGTAATCTTAAGTTCCCATAAGAAGTTAGAAATGGATAGGCAGATTAAATATGAAGGAAGTAGAGGGCAGGTGATAGTGATCAGAGCAGAATAAAGAAATAGAAAACAGAACAGAAACTAATGAAACCAAAGGTTTATGTTGAAAATATTCTTCAAAGTTGAACCACGATTGATCAGTCAATAAGACTGCTCCCGAGGAGGGTGAACACAAGTCAGCAGTGTCAGGAATGAGAAGGCAGAAGTCACTGCTGTCCTGCTGAGTCAAAAGGACAATGGGAGCAAGTTATGGAGAGCTTTCTGCCAAAAATTTAACAACTTAGATGCAGTGGAGAAGTTCTTGGAAAGCACAACTTAGAAAAAAATGATACAAAATGAAATAGAAAAATCAGAATGTTATAAACTCTACAAAGAAAACTCTAGTTCCAACTGGTTTCAGTGGTAAATTTTATCACAAACTTAACAAGAAATAGCACTAATCCAACACGGATTCTCTTACAGATGATTCCTGATTCATTTCTTTAAGGCCAATGTAACTGATAGCAAAACCAAATAAGAGCTACTCAGTAAATGAACATTAAAAGTCAGTATCCACTGTGTGGATATATACAGATGTCAAGTACTCACTGAAGCATTGACAAGCCAAGTAAGCAGTGTGTAGAATAACGACCCCTGTACTAGAAATGTAAAGCTGGCTTAACATTCAAAAATCAGTATGATTCACCACATTATCAGATTACTGGGGGGAAAAAAGGCTATGATCATCTATAGATTCAGAATTCAGTACTAACTTGTGATTTTTAAAAGTCTTATGAGGGGGTCTAGAGAGATGGCTGAGTAACGGTTAAGAGCACGGGCTGCCCTTGCAGAGGACCTGGGCTTGATTCCCAGCACCTACCTGGCAGCTAACCATCCATAATTCCAGTTTCAGAGAATCCAGTGCCCTCTTCTGGCCTCTGCAGGCATTGCATGACATGGGTGCATTTATGTACATGTAGGCAAAACACTCATACACATGAAATTAAAAACATAAATCTTAGAAAACTATGAGGGGAAGGTAACTCCTCAGTACCATGTTTAGCTATGAAGTATTGAATGCTCTTTTCAGTACAAAGGTGTGTTCGCTCAGCACTTAAGCTCCTCACACAGGAAATACTAGCCCATGCTGTAAACCAGGAAAAAGAATGAAGGCATAAAAATTTTAGAAGGCCATTTACAGTATGACTTGCTTTCTTCAGGCCCACATGTTTACTTATGCTGAAAAGCCTAGGGGATCTCCTTCCTCAGAGCTACTGAAATTAACCAATAAAAGTTTTCAAACATTTCACTGTGTAAAACAATTACATTTGTACATTCAGTAAGCTATTATAAAATAAAATGCTTGGTTACTGTTTATAATGACATCAAAAGCAAAATGTTCAGGCATAGAGTTAATGAAAGATGTACGGATCCACCACATGGACTACTACAAAGCATTTCTGAGAGAAAGGAGACAGTCTTTGAAAATGGTGCAGTGTGGTCATACATCAAACTTTTGATATTGTCAAGTGCTGTTTCTCTCAGGACATACTTGGCACACACCTTTAATCCCAGCACTCAGGAGGCAGAAGCAGAAGGATCTCTGGAAGTTTGAAGAAGCCAACCTGGTCTACATAACAAGCTAGCCAGAGTTACATGATGAGACCCTGTCTCCAAAAAGAAGAAAAAAAGTGCTGTTTCTTCCCAGATGTATGCATAGATTCAATGTGATCCCAACCAAGATCCCAGCAGGCTTTTTTTTTTTTTCAGTCTTTTTGAGACAGGGTCTCCCTGTAGCCCCAGCTGACCTGGAACTCGCTATTTAGACCAGGCTGGCCTCGAACTTACAGAGATCCACCTGCCTCTGCCTCCCAAGTGCTGGGATTCAAGTTCTATACCACCATGCCTGGCCCAGCAGGCATTTTTTAAAAATACTTTATTTTTATGTGTATGAGTGTATTGCCTGTATGCACGTAAGGTCACCCATGATATGCAGTGCCCACAGAGGTCAGAAGAGGGTGTCAGATCCCCTAGAACTGAAGTTACAGATGGTTGTTAGCTGCCATGTGGGTGCTGGGAATTGAACTTAGGTCCTCTGTAACAGCCTGCATGTGTTTAAGTGCACCCGTGTCATGCAGTGCCCATGGAGGACAGAAAAGGATGTTGGATTCCCTGGAACTGGAGTTATGGACAATTATTAGCCACCATGTGGGTGCTGAGATTTGAACCTGGGTTTTCTGAAAGAATAGCCAGTGCTCTTAACCACTGACCCATCTCTCTAGCCCAGCAGGAATTTTTTTAAATTATTTATTTAATAACCATATACTTAGAAGAAGCATTTCATTACATCAGCATTGACATATTCAATAACACTTTTCTGAGCTAGGCTGCATCTCTTACAAAAATTAGCTGTACATTTTTAGGTTTACACTTGAATTACTACAGTTATACATTATTGTACTCAGTATAAACCCTATAAGACATAAAATTAAATGAGGTTTTTAACCTTTAAAAAAGATCTCCATTTCATATTAAAATACAGAGTTTTATGTAGAAAACTTCATTTTTAATACAATTGACGTTAAGATGTTTGCACATGCATTTCTAATCTCTATATATCAGATTATTACTAGTCACAGTTGGTTACTTTCTGAGCTCCTTGGCATCTGATCATGGATATAAAGTCATCAGGTAGATTTCAATGATAATGTTTTTCACATCTACTAATTATTAAGGAGCAAATTTTTATGCTTTGAAGAATTTTTTAATAGTTATAATTTAAAAAAATTTTAATAGCTACATGATTAGAAGCATTTCACTACAGCTTTAACATATTCAGTAACATACTCCCGAGCAGCTGTACATCTCTTTCACAAGTGGGTGTAAGTTTTTAGGTTCACAGTTGAATTAGTATAGTTATATATTATTGAACTCAGTATAAGCCCTGTAAGACATAAAATTGGATGAGTTTTTAACCTTTAAAAAAGATC